GAACGGGGTTCAGGGGGGACAGAGACCGGCAGGAAAGCCTTAATGAATGGGAAATGTAGCAAAAAAAAAGAAAGGGAGGCTGAGGAGGGGTTTTGTCCCCAAGGGGTAACAGGAATAATGAAAAACCCAGATACCCCATGGTTACCCAAAGGTGCAGGGAGGCAAAAACCAAGTGGTGGGGAATGGAAAAATATAGAAGGAAAAGGACCCGGGAGAAAAGGGAAACAGTCGTAGAGCCAGAAACAAATATGCACGATAAAGGGGGGCCCCAAAACAATATGAAAATGACTAGCAGCAAAAGCCAAATCTGACCCAAATGTTGTACAGCCACCAGGAGGAAAACAACAGAAAGGCCGGGTAATCGGCAAAGGGAAAGGGAAAGGGAGGAGAACAAAAAGAAATGCCCGTGAAGTATGTAAGAACTCAACAAAGATTCAAAAAAGTGTTACAGGGAGACAGAAGGGACCCAGAAAGACGGAAGGGGGGGCACACCACCAAGTGCGGACACAGTGCAACAACCGAGGAAAAATTTAAGGGGCTTCTGATGAGCTGATACCTCAAAGGCAATGGACCAAAAACACCCCATGGGTATTGAGGAGGGCAAGGCGCTATGTGTACCCCTAACAAAAAAAACAATAATCTATCGAAACAGGGGGGGATTGCCTGAGGCTGGAAGACAGAAAATGTAGTCCCAATTTTTAAAAAAGGAGAAGACATAAGCATTAAACTACGACCGGTCACTACGTATAATGCAAATCAGGAGAAGATTATCAGGGAAGAGGGGGAAACACCTAGAAAGGAACGATCTCATCAACAGCACCCAACAGGTTTCAGGGACGGGAAATCCGGCCCCAAACCCCTATTTTGGGATTTCTTTGAATGGTACAGCAGTAAGAAAAGAGAAAGGGGTGGGGGGGTTTTGCATTTTTTTGGACTGCAAGAAGGCTTTTGGACACATTCCACACAAAAAAGGGGGGTGAAAAAACTGGAGGACCAAGCGGGGTAACAAAAAAGCCTACATGGATCGGAAAATTTCAGGAAGACAGCACGAGTCAGGGTACGTGCAGGTTCAGAGTGGGACCTGTGCCGCGGGGTCCCGCAGGGGTCATCCTAGGACCAGTGCGTTTCGGGATTTGTAACGACATGAGGGAAAGGGAAAATAACTTAGGTGTCCCTGTTTGCAGATGACGTAAGTGATAGAAGTTTCCCTCGATCAAGACCGGCAGAACTAAAAAGGGATTGGACGGCTGCAGCCCCGGTCCAGCAATTGGCCCGGGGTTTCAACCCCCCAAGTGCAAAGTCATGAAGATTGGGGAAAGGGCAAAGAAGGCCCGACGGAGTACAGTCAGGGGGGTCAGGACTACAAACCCCCTCAAGGAAAAAATATTTTGGGGGTTTGGTAAAACCAGGCACATCCCCTGAAGCGCAATAAAACCAAATAACTGCTGCGCTAGGGCGCCTAGCAAACTAGAACAGCTTTCCGAATCTTAAAAAGGGAACATTAGGCCCTGTACACCGTGTATTTGGGCCCATATTGGGTAGCGGCACCTTTTTTGAACCCACACCTACAAGCACTAAAGAAAAAGAGAAAGTGCAAAGGGTTTGCAACAAGACTAGCCCCAGAGAAAAGGGGATGTCCACAGAGATTAAGGGAAAAAACCTGACACAGGAGGACAGGAAAAAAGGGAGGACAATAACGACAACAAAAAACGAGAGGAATTGAAAAGGGACAAAGACAGGATGTTCCAGAGTTTGGACACAGTAAAAAGGGGAAACCCCAATTTTGGAAGCGAAGACACGATAAATCACGGGGATTTAGGAATATTTCTTCGCCACAGAGTGTCATAAGTGGAATTTTTTGGGAACGGTAGTGGAGGCAGGAGGGATACTAGCTTTAAGCAGGGTAGATAAAGCTAGGGTCAGGGAGAGTGCCCTAGTGCAAGTGAAAGGGGGGGCCCCGGGAGTGGACCGCCCCCCGCAACTCAACTAGGAGTAAAACTAGGTGAGTACACACCACACACACACACCACACACACCACACACCCAACACACAAAACACACACACACACCACACACACACACACCAAAAAAAATTTTCTTGGACGCAAAAAGGCCCTTTCGACACAGTCCTACAAGAGATTTTTACAAAAAACTAGAAACAGGCACGTATAACAGAAGGCACTGCAATGGATCAAGAAACCTAACGGGAGGCAACATTGAGTCAGGCCGGGGAAGGGGTATCACAGTGGGCGCCGGGACGAGCGGGCCCCACGGGTCAGTCTGGGACCATGCATTTTTGGGTATTGTAACGACATGACGAAAGGGAAGACTCAAAAGTGTCCCTTTTTTCAAGGGCTGAATTAAATGAGGGAGAATTAAATCAGACGGGGCCAGAAGGCACAAAGAAACCGGAAAGGGCTGATTGTGGCCCAAAAAACTGGCTCCTAGAATTTTAACCCCGCCAATGCAAAGTCATGAAGATCGGAGGGGGGCGAGAAGACTGCAGACAGAGTATAGGGTAGGTGGCCCAAAGGCTGCAAAAATTTCCAAGGAGAAGACCCCGGAGGGGTATAAACCGAGTACACGCCAAAGCCACATTAACCAGATAACGCTGGGGCATTGGGGCTTTTGGGAAACTGAGAATAGCGTTCGGGACCTAAAGGAAACGTCAAGACTTTATCACTGTGTACGTCAGCCCCTATTGGAGTACGCAGCACCATTTAAAACCCACACCTGGTCAAACGTGAAGAATTTGAGAAAGTGCAAAAAGGTTTTCAAAAAGGCTAGTTCCAGGCTAAGGGAATGCCCATGAAGAAAGGTTAAGGGGAAAAGGGCTGACAACCTGGGGGAAGGGGGTCAGGGGGTGCTGGGGAACGCAACAAAATACTGCGTGGAATAGACAAGGTGGACAGAGACAGGACTCCAGAGTGGGAACAGAAAAGGGGGCACAATTGGAAGCTGAAGACTCGATGAGTCAAAGGGATGTTAGGGAAATATTTCTTCATTTAAGAGTGTTAGGAAGTGGGAAAAGACTGGAAGCAAGTAGGGGGCAGGAACTATAATAGTTTTTAAAACGAGTATGATAAAGTCATGGAGCAGGGGGGGAGAGGACCAGTAGCGGTTGTGAAGGGCGGGGCCCGACCTGAGTCCGACCCCGAACCACAATTAATGAGTACAATAGGGGGGACACACACACACACAGCCGCACACCTGCACAGAAAAAAAGATGGAATTATTTAGTGTTTTCGTGTTTTCCCTGAGTACTTTCAATAACCTATTTTAGCAAGGGAAAGGTGAAAAGGGGTTTAAAAAGGGGGGGGTTTTTTTAATTTGAAAATGTTTATATTAAAATAAAAAGGGGCTTTTGGGGGGACCGGTATGGGGGTTGGGGGGGCGGTGAATGCTGGGTACTCCCGGTTTGGGAAAAAGAAAAGGGGGGGGGATCTAAAAAGATTTCAATTTTTGGCTTTCTTTTTTGTTTGAAACAAAAAAGAAAAAAATAGGAATTTTTGGCAAAGGGTCAGGGGGTGACACCTGATCCTTCACATTTTTTCATGCAGGGGGGAACTTGGGATAAAAAAAAGCAACTTTGGTTCAAGGGGGTGGGGACAATTCTTTCAGGTTTTAAAAGAGGAAAAAAAACGAAAAAACTTCCAGTGGGGAAATTTAAATTTGGCTTAGTCGGAGTTGTGGTCAAAAATTTAAAATTTGAAACAATCCTAGGTTCAAAAAATGGCAAAAATTTTTATCCACTTTTTTTCAGCCCTGGGAAAAAAAATACTTTGAGGTTAAACAACCCCCCATTGTGCCGGATTTTTTGGTTGGGGGTTTTGTTTGTGTCATTATTTTTAATTTAGGGGGGATAATTTTTTACCCACCGAAGAAGTTCGGGGGCAAGCCCCCCGGGGGGCCCGGCCTCTGGGGAAACCGAAACCCCTTTGCGCCTGAAAAAAGAAACCACAGGGGTGCAGGCTGCAGGGGTTTTTGTGTTGTGTGTGTGTGTGTGTGGTGCTTTAGTTTAAATTTTTTTTTTTTTTTTTTTGGATTTTCAGGGTTGGTTTTGTGTGTTTTGGAGTTATGGAGAGTTTGGGGGTTTAGGGGGTTGGGGACTCCTTTTGATCACCCCATTTTGGGTTTGCGGGGGTCGAGCCTCCTGGCACGCCCTTCACCGGTTTTTCTTCCCGGTTTGGGGTGTGGGGGGGTATAATTTGTTAGGGTGGTTGTGGGTTGTAATTTTTATGTGTGTGTGTGTGTGTGTGTGTTGTGTGGTTTTTTTTTTTTGGTTGTGGTGGTGTGTGTGTTTTTGTTTTTTGTGTGTTTGTGTGTGTGTGTGTTTTTTGTGTGTGTGTGTTGTTTTTGTGTGTGTGTGTGTGTGTGTGTGTGTGTGTGTGTGTTTGTTGTGTGTTTTTTGGTTTTGTGTGTGTGTGGGGTGTGTGTGTTGTGTGTGTGTGTGGTGTGTTTTGTGTGTGTGTTTTTTGTGTGGGGTGTGGGGTGGTGTTTATAAAAAATCAATTTTTGCCCAATAATCACTACAGTTGTGACCGGGGTGGAATGTGAATTTTCCCTTACACTTTAAATTTTTTCTGATTGAGCCCCGTAAAACGAAGTAACCTTCTTCAGTATTCATTACCTTTGTAACTTGTGATTCATTCCTTTTACCCATTCAGCCATCCAAACTTTTTGGGCCCGTCCCTGGGCCCCTTACGTACCTCTGTAATCTGTAAAAAACCTTTTAACTTTTCTGTTGTGGGGTGACCTACCTGGAGTTCATTCCTTTTTTAATTTGTGAGTTCTTACCTTTGTAAATTGTGATTCATTACCTCTGTAAATTGCTCGCTACAAAACTTTGGGTCCGTCCCGGACCCCTTTTGTACCCCTGTAATCTATGATACCCCCCACAGGGTGGGTATGGGGTGCATAAAAACATTAAACTAACTAACTCATTCATCAGGCGTTTTAAAATGGGGGTAATCGCCACAGAAACAAAATGATGAACTTAC